GTTCGTTCATTTATGTTCGTGAACGTGCGTTCATTTATGTTCGTGAACGTTCGTTCGTTTATGTTCGTTTATATTCGTTTATGTATTAATTTTAATATATAATTTTTATTTATTTAGTTTGAATTTAAATTTTAAAACCTTTTTAATTATAACAAGTTAAGTTCTAGAGTTGGTATCAAGAGTGGCACGGCAAAGTATGATCAACATATCAGAAGCGTTGACACTTTTGCAAGTGTGAAGTCAGAGTTAGACATTTATTTAGAAGAAAGCGTGTACATTGGTGATTCAGATGCATATTTTGATGCCTTGGAGTGGTGGAAGGAGAAAAATCTGAAGTTCAGAATTTTGTCTAAAATGGTTGCTGATGTTTTGGCAATTCCGATAACTACTGTTGTTCAGAATCAGCTTTTAGTGCTGGTGGGAGAGTTATCGATGCTCATCACGCCTCTTTAGGGACGAAGACGGTAGATATGCTCATTTGCGGAGCTGATTGGTATCATCATCATTATGGACTACACAAAAAGAAAACCAAGGTAATTTGCTTAATCTTATCAATTATGAATTTATGATACTTGTTTTCTTACAACAACTAATAATTGTTTTGTTTGTTTGTTGTAGGAAACTGATGATATGATATATATTGAACTTCCATGAGGTGACAACTGACAAATGATGATGAGCGGATTGTTTTTTTTGTTCAAATGACAATGGTGATTTGTTTTTTTTAACTATGGACAATTGGTGTGTAATAGTTAACTGAATGACAAATAGTGGTGTTCGTTTGTTTATGTTTATTTAGGCATGTTCGTTTATGTTCATTTAGGCATGTTCGTTTATGTTCGTTAAGACTGTTCGTTTATGTTCGTTCGTTTACGTTTGTTTAACTTGTTAACGAACGAACATAAACGAACACGAACACATCGGATTTCTTAACGAACGAACATAAACGAACACGAACACATCGGATTTCTAAACGAACGAACACGAACACATCGGATTTCTAAACGAACGAACACGAACACAATTATTTTCGTTCGTTTACCGTTCGTGTTCGTTCGTTTGTTCGGTTAAGTTAAACGAACGAACACGAACAAGCCTCCGTTCGTGTTCGTTCGGTTCGTTTACAGCCCTATACATGATAGTGTAATTGTCTAGTATATATTAATAGAAACTTCACAATTATATTAAATCGAAAAAATACAAGGATGTCGGGTTCATCAGGTTGAGTTGGATTCAAATAATAGTAACGCAATTTCAACCCAATACCTATAGTTTCAAAATTTTACAACTCGATTAGATATCAGGTTGTTTCGCATTGAGTTATTTCGTCTTTGGTTGAGTTGGGTTAGGTTGATCGAATTGGTTTGATCGGGTTGGTCAGGTTTTAAGCACCCCTACTCGTCAGTCTTGGAATAAGTATCTCTATTTGAAGTAACATACAATTTTAGATATTTCATAGTTATTATTTTCTTTTAATTAACCAAATGATTGATTTACTTCTACTTAATTTATTTTCCTTTATAAATCTTAAATATATGTATATTAATTAAAGATATATTTGAGAATTTAGTTATCTATTTTTGAAATCGGACACTTATTTTAAGACACATATAAATATAAATATTGATGACTTATTTTGGAACGAAGTGAGTATTTAATTTAAAAAATTAAAAAATTTATGTTTAAATATAAAATAAAATAAAATATTAAAATCGAGATTTATCTCATTGCATTGCACGAATATCTATTTGAACATGGAGATTTTAATGATATTTATCCTTCAATAAATCATTTAAATACTTTTTGAAATATAAAAAAGAAAATAGAGTAGAAAAATTTCTCCAAATTAAAATTTAATATAAGAAAATAGTATTTTTTATATTGATTATAAAATATATTTCAATAATATTAAAATCTTTTAAAATTTGATCTTTTAATTTTAAACAAAAAAGCACTGAAAATTTATTGTGTAGCTTCGTAAAATCAAATAATATATCATAGGTTTATCATAAACCCTCCACTAGTCTTAGTTGTAAAGTGAATAAAAAGTATCTGATTACATCAATATTTTTAAAGGCGGGTTTCATATGATGTTGATTGAGATTATCGGTTGAAACATTTTACCTCAAATTTATTTAAATTTAAGCTTATAAAATAATGAGTTCATTATATTATATAAAATTAAACAGTTTATTTTATTTTTAAAATTATTGTATATTAGAAGGGTACTCGTGCAATGAAACGAGATACATCTTAATATACGAATTCAAACATAAAGATTTAATAAGATGTATTCGATGCACACATTTTACTTGTAATCTTGAATTTTAAGTAATATACATTTATAAACAGAATTTTTTACATGAAATATTGTTTTTAAGAGTTTTTATCAAATATTTATAATATAAATATGATTTCTGAGTGTCAGGAATGTAATAAATAGGTGCTAAACTGAATTTCCCCAAAACCTTCCAAAAATGGAGTGTCAGTAGAAGAACATGATGACCATCACCACTTCACTTCCAACTCCAAACCCTTCCTCCTTTTCAACACCGTCATCATCCTTCATACTTCCTGCCGACCGCCATGAATCGCCGGACCTTACTACAAGAAATTGAAGACGCCTCCAGATCCATCGGCTCTCCCACGCCACCCTTCGCTTCCAACTCCCCTTTCGATTCCTCCTTAGCTCTCACCATCCTCGTCCTCCTCACTGTTCTCTTCTTCATGGCCTTCTTCTCTCTCTACATCCGCCGTTTCTCCAACAACAACAACAACTCCGCGGATCCAGTCACCCGTCTCCGCCAAACTCCGTCGCATTTCCGATGCGATAAACGCGGCGGACTCGATCCCTCCGCCGTTAGAGTTCTTCCGTTGGTTCCGTACAGTGACGAATCGAAGATTTGGAGCGAATGCTCAATCTGTTTGAGTGAGTTCGAAGATGGAGAAACGGTGAAATTGATCCCGTACTGTCGTCACGGTTTCCATCCTCTGTGCATTGACACGTGGCTTTCATCGCACGCTTCTTGTCCTCTTTGCCGGTCGACTCGACTGTTTTCGGCCGTCGATGAGGGAAGAGTCAGTGTCGACGGAGATCCAACGGTGGTGACGCGACGTGATTGAATGCAAATTTCGGGCCCGCGTGTTACGGTTGTGAAGAGTAAGACAAATTTGCCGGCAAAACATTTTTGCAGCGAAGCACGTGGGAGAGTGGCACGTGTGACGTCATGTACATAAACGTACCATTTGCTTTTTTTTTTTTTTAATTTTAATTTATTAATTTTATTTGGTTTTTATGGTGTCGAGGAATTTCGTGTTACCCAAAAATTAAGTTAATTTAATAAAAAGTTGACGTGGACGTTAGTGGAGGAAACAGAAACACTTGTTTTACGGTGATACGAGTTGTGGGTCTCACATTCTCTTATCCAATGAGAATACGCCATCTGGCAAAATAGGAATTGTTTAGGCCCACGGTAAGTACATCTTTATCCAAAGCTTGATTTGAAATATGAGATTAAAAAAATGGATAAATTGTAATTAATCGATTGGATGGTTGATTCAAAATTACCTGGTGTTTGGGATTGTTTATTTGGAACAACTTATGTTTTTTTATAAACGTTTTTATCAACTTATTATAAGTTAAAATAGATTAACTTTTTCAAAAACTCTTTATTACCGGTTTGATACCGGTATAAATTGTTTATACAAACACTTAAAAGTGTTTATTATTGGTGTCGGAATAAGTCAATAATTTGTTTTTATAAGCAATCTCAAACACCTCTTATTTGGAAAAATGAATGGTATTTTGATTCCTTTTATAAATACAATTTATGTAGTTTATAACAGCTAGAGTAAACTACGGATTTGGTTTCAGTTGTTTATTGAAAATAACATTTTTCGTTTTTATGTTTTGAAATCACAGAATGATTATCGTGGTTTTTAAAAATGTTCGGACTAGATCACTTCTTTTAATGGCTCTTAAGAGTTTCATGTCCGGATTAGATCACTCCTTTTAATGGTGGTTAAAAATTTCCGTTAACTGTAGGCATTTTCTTCTTTCTATATTTTTTGGTCTTTTATCCAATCATATATGAACATTCTTATCTCGAAAATCACATACAGATGGTATGTTAATAGGTATCAAAAAATTATCAAATTATTATCACATCAAAATCACATAATGGACCGACAAAACGATAAAATGTAGACGTGATCATTGCTGGTTTTCGATCATCACAATATTATCACATCACTATCACAACAAAAATTACATGATTATTAGATGATTATATCAACATCACATCATAAAATAAAAACGTTATAGACATGATACAAAAGATAAATTCTTTTTTAAAGTTTTTGAAGGCACAGAATCAATTAATATATAATATATTAATCCATAAAAGAAAGAAAGAAATAAATAATATATATTATATAGATGCGAAAATTTTGAGCTCATAGGAAGAACAATATCTTTAACTTTTCTATCAAAAATCATGGGTATTTGGGATTGTTTATAAAAACAATTTATTGATATATTTTGGTGTGACACCAGTAATAAACACTTTTGAGTGTTTGGATAAACAAATTATACCGGTACCAAACCAGTAATGAGGAGTTTTTAAAGAAGTTAAACTCTTCTGGTTTATAATAAGTTGACAAGTACTTTTGTAAAAAATCATACGTTGTTTCAAATAAGTAATCCTAAACACCCCCTAAAACAAATGCCATTGTTTTTAAGGTGGACTGAATGCAAAAATAGCCTCGTTTTTGTTTTTTAAAGGTGTGTGAGATGCTGAATTAAGACTATTAGTAGATAAATGTATATGATGGTGTAGTCCATTCTCTTGCCTAACTATCCCATCTCAACTGTTATCTTGTTTCTTATCCTAATTATATGAACGTTGTATGCTCTCTTATTTGGCATGTTTCCTTCAAAAAAAATAAAAAGATCCGTCGGCCTTGTACATGTATCAAATTTTGTAGTATTTTTTGCATGAACAAAAACCATATATATTCATGTATCAAATTCGTTGTTCACTAAATCGTTGATATATGCGTCAAATTTCAATTAACACAAATTTTAAAATAGTCGCAACAAATTGATATTTTTTTTTAAGTCATTTAAATTTTTGGTTAAGATAAACCAATTATAAAGCAATCAGATATACATGATCAGAACTTATTTTTCAATAAAGGCGGCAGTAGTTAGGAGAAAACGGATCAAAATGTTTTCAATTGGTCAACTAACGAATTCTTTGTGTACTGATAAATGTAAGACGAAGACTTTAAACTTAGAAATTTGCGTGAACATTCTTGATTTCTCTTAAGGCATCACATCAATTAACTATTTTCTAATTTTATTTTATTTTTTAGTTGGGTAATAAAAATACCTTGAAAAATAATAAACAGCTTGTTTTAAAATTCAACAAGAAAAGCATTGTAACAAATAGATCATATTTTACGTGACATACCACTAAATCTTAATTTTGTATACCGATCTAAATATCTTCTAACGAAATAAATACGTTCCGATTTCATGGTATTGGACCCTTTGACGAAAGAAACATGCTTGTTTGAGTAATAGCAACGAGATTCCCTTTTATCACAATGGGAGATTTTAGCATCGTTGAATAGGCCCCTTAGCATAGTATAATTTTGTATTTCTTGGTAAAATGCCTAGAAAAAATAAAAAATCATGGTTGGGAAGGTTATAGCAGCAGCCATTACCGTCTGAGCAGTTTTTGGATATCAAATAGACCTCTTATCTGCTTCTTCTGCTCCGTACCAAGAATAGTAAAAGATATTGTATATCGTAAATCATAATAAGTAAAAGTTGGGTGAATGCATTTCTTGGTGCCGGCATAAATTACATCTCACATTTCATAAACGATCATGTCATCATCAAAATTAGACAAAAAGCTTCAAAGCTAGATAACGATCGGCCTTGTTATCATCATGGCGTTACCACTAGTTTGTTTGCCATTCAGCAAAGCATTCAGTTTGAGCAGCTTGCCCACCTCCATTCACTCACCATATAAAGATCATTTCACCAATTTATTAATTTCATAAACTTAAGGTTAACGATCGAATCAAAACTCGCTCGTTTATGTATACCATCTATCACCTGTCATAATTCAATCCAGCAAATCAGTAAATGCAGGCAAGGCAAAGGGGATGAGAATGAAACAGTTGGGTATCAGTAGATTTACCTGATCGGGTTTTGGGAGACGCTAGACGAAACTCAAACTCGATCTTCTTATTCCAACAGCTAATTCTCCTTTTTATGGTGTTAAATATTGTAGAGTAAGAGTATGGTTTCACCTCAGCTTGATTTACGGGTGCCTGACACTTTCCTTTAGCTTCGACCAGTTTATCTTCACAGCACATTTTGAGCATATATACACAGGTCCACACCTATAAAGTGTACAAGAATTTAGAATTTGAACAAGCTGCATCGAAACTGTTTTCAAGTACAAATAGTGATTCCGTATTTTACCTAGTGGGTGAGGAGTCAAAACTACTGTCACAACATAGGGGGCAAGCCTCTTCCTTGCCAGCTTTCCATTTAGATTCATCTGTTTGCAAACGATCGTCCTCTGAAATTGTTTCATAATAAGGAAGGTCTGTGTGGAATGTAAATACAAATATAATGATATCATATGTTGCACAATAACAACTGTGTAAGTAGGTAAGACGGACCTGAAGTAGATGATCGATTTAGAGCTGCCGAAACCTCTTGTTGCACTGAGCGTTGCAACTCAAGTTGCACATTCATGCATGTCTCAACCATTGTCTGCATGTTATTCATCCGTTCTTGAAGCCTAGCCATATCAATACATAGGCCATTGATCATCTCCCATTCCTGATACATATCAACCCACAGACTTGGTTCAGACTAATACAAGAAAATTCTCAACAGTTTGTGCGAAAAATAATCCTCCCATATGGATATATTTGCATAATTTAACAGCCTATAGGCTATAGCTTATGTGA